TTTTAAGTATTTGCAATCAAATTCCATACTGGCATAAAAATGGGTATGACTTTTCCGGTTTAATGGGGATACAACTGATGACAGGAATGGAGCTGACCCTCTTCAACTACAAGGCTGCACAGCTAAAAGAAATGAAGGAATTATCTAATAGTTTCCTCGGGTAGGATTCTTTTCATGAGCAAAATCTGAGATCTAGTATAGACTATAAAAGTAACAGTAATCCCTAGTTCTTATCCACAACTTGGAGCTACACAGTTATCTCATCAAGAATCATGAACGATGCAAGTTTTGCTCAAGAAAAGACACACCACAACTCAATTTAAAAAAACAACTCAGGGTCTGCATGGCAAACTATTTGGTCATTGAATATTAAAGAGTTTCTCAGGTCTAACTGTCAAGAGAACCCATTCAATCACCGTAGAATTTGTATCCTCTGACAGTATTACTTCCCTACGTACACACCATTTAACATCAGACAAGCTACATCAGTATTTGGAAGAGAAGAAAGCCCTTTGGCTCAAAAAAATACCCGATAGTGATCCAAAATGCCTTCTAGTTAAATTGGCAATAGTCCTTGCAAATGAATATTTTTAATAAAGTAGAACTTCACATTCATCAAGCTTTCTGAACTAATAAACAGATGCAAATTAAAAAACCCCTAACATACCAAGAAGAGTTACAAAGTCAGCATTCTTAACAACAAAGCCAAACACGAAATCCTTCCACTGCCTCAAAGGAAAATAAGAGAACACTCAAAGTGCACTGTATTTTAATGGCACATGAAATATATATGCTGTTTATTATCTATCGACTTCCGTTTAGTATCTTTACCAATGATCTGGAAAAGTGCACCCTCACTAAGTTTGCAGGTGACACCAAGTCAAGTGGGATTGCTGATCTGCTGGAGCATAGGAAAGTTCTACAGAGGTGTCTGGACAGGGTGGATCCATGGGACAAAGTCAACTGTATGAGGTTTAACAAGGCCAAGTGCCAGGTCCTGCCCTTCAGTCACAACAATCCCAGGCAACACTACAGGCTTGGGAAGGAGTGGGTGGAGAGCTGCCCGGTGGAAAAGGACCTGGGGGTGCTGGTGGACAGCCAGTGGCTGCACATGAGCCAGCAGTGTGCCCAAGTGGCTGAGAAGGCCAACGGCATCCTGGCCTGTATCAGAAATGGTGGGGCCAGCAGGAGTAGGGCAGTGTTTGTTCCCCTGTGCTCGGCACTGGTGAAGTTGCCCCTCGAATCCAGTGTTCAGTTTTGAGTCCCTCACTACAAGAAAGACATTGAGGTCCTGAAGCAGGTTCAGGAGGGCAACAAAGCTGGTGAAGGGTCTCAAGAACAAGTCTTATGAGGAGTAGCTAAGGGAACTGGGGTTGTTTAGTCTGGAGGAGGCTGAAAGGAGGCCTTATCACTCTCTACAACTAAGCTGAAAGGAGGTTGTAGAAAGGAGGGGATCAGCCTCCCAATTAACAAGCAATAGCACAAGAGGAAATGGCCTCAAGTGGCACCAGGGGAGGTTTAGATTGGAAATGAGGAAAAATTTCTTCCCCAAGAAGGTTGTTAAGCATTGGAACAGGGGTCCCAGGGAAGTGGCTGAGTCACCCTCCCTGGAGGTATTTAAAAGACATATAGAAGTGGTGCTTAGTGTATTGAAAACTGACAGGCTTTTTTTGTACAGAACTAAAACTGATAGGTCAGCTACAGCACAAGGCTACACAGGACTGCACTTCAGCTTCTTAGTTTAACCCGATAACAGGTTGACACAAGAAAAAACAATTATTTTCCAGTCACAAGCTCCTGGATAAGCTCTGCAAACACACCTAACTTAGACTCTGAGATACCACAGGTGTCAGAATCATCCTGCCACTGATGTAGTTCAACAGCCCTGTTAGCCTCACCCAATTAATAAAATACAACTAATTGCTGTTAGCAGAGAAAGAGAAAGTAGCCCCCTCTGGATCGGTGTGTCCTGCTCCCAGCAGGAAGTGCACTGGTCCCACACAACTCGGTGCTGCTAGGGGAGTGGCAGCTCCCACCTGCAAGGAGGCCTGAGCAAATCCATCTCCAGGCAAGCTTAGAACAGAAGGCTTGCATAGAACGGATTTAAACATTTTCTAGTCTGAATACAGGTATCACTGAGCAACAACTTTGCACAAGGATAAATAATCTTGAATTTTAAATGTGGTGAAAGTAAACCTGATGATCAGTGATGATCAGCATACAGTAGTGTGAAATCTGCCTTAGGTTAATTCAGCTACCTGATCAAGTTTTCTGCTATTAAAGACAGAGTAGAACAGTCTGATTTTTTTTTACAGTTACAAAAACCAAAACACATTTACATAATGAAAGAGAAACATCCTTGAATCTCCTTACAAGAAAGTTTATTCCACCTCTTTCAAACTGATAAATTAATGCTTGTAAAGCAAATGACAAGACTTTGAAGTAAGATTTCCTGTGATATGAGAAGAGCTCTTTCAAAGTTAACGTTTTATTGAATCAAGTTTTGTATTAAAATATTTTTCATATTTCAATTAGTTACGTTATATAATACTGATGAAAAATTGTATTTATGTACTCTTCAAGGGGGAATATTTTCATACAGATGGAAAAAGACTTCCAAGTCCCTACTCTGTCTGGCTCTTGAATTTTTTTCCTGTTCTACAGAAATGCAAAAGCAAGTATTATTGTAATTCCTGTTTTCTATTTTTTTTCTCCCTACAGAGAAAGCAAGACTAGACTCTCTCATCCTTAAAAGGTCAAAGATGCTTCATTTTGCTATGTGTAGAAAATGAAGAACCATTTCCCTTTGATTTAATCTGTTCTAATAAAATCAAAATGGCCTAGATGAAATGATAATGCAGGAGTTGAGATGTGTATTCCTTTCCTCCACCCACAATAACACACTTTCTGAATACAAATAAGTGCAGATCTATAATCTTCCCTTTTATGCTCTTTATTCTAGCATCTTCATTTCCGATCTTAGTGAACTCCCATCAGAAACAGAAAACAGCAAACACAGCAGAGTTAAAACAGCTACAACGACTGTAAGAATAGCTAACATATTTATAAAGAATCAGGAAAAGAAAGGAAATTAATCCACTGTAATGTTAATTACAGGTAATCTCAAGTACTAAAATATTCTCAAGTGGACTAGTTTGACACAATATTACAGACTGCATTGCAAACCCAAATCTATCCATCTCTCACTCTCTGAGGTCTGAAGGTTTTCCTAAATAATACAAAAATATTTTCATTATTTGACATTTAAAGAAAGGAATAAAAATCCCTGAGTAAGCCAAAGACAACTAATATGTATAGCCTCAGAAAATACACTCAAAAACAAGTCCATTTTTAAGGCAGCTTCCAACCTCAGACAGAACACAAATAGAAAACCGCTGTGTCACAGAAGAAGAAATCTATTTAACAAGTGTATTTGCATTGACAATAGGCTTTGAACTTTACTTCTAAATGTCATTGCTTCCCAGCTTAATTTGCAAATCTTAGAAAGGTACTGTTTCTACCACTAGGACAACAGAGACAATACGGCCTTAAATTCAAATGGAAACATAAACTACTTGTTGACTACTATGGTGTACTTGCACACAGTTTCAACAACGAAAGAAACAAAACCTCAAACAAGAAAACAAAACCAGAAGTTGAGAGAAAACAAGCATACCAGCCAACTATGGTAAGCTGATATTTGTGTTTCCAAGTAAACAAAATACATTAGTTTCTTCCACTGAGGCTTTAAAGTCAAAGTGAGTATCTCGTTACAGTTTTACGTTGATGGGGCAGAATACTATTTACTTTAAAATTTTAACTAGATTCAGTTTTAATAACAATTTTCATAGGAAGTGCTACAAAGTATATCCACTCAAACGATATGCTATTTGCAGGCCTGAATTTTGAAGTCTGTAGACTCTTTAGAACACTGCCCATCTCCCTGCTAACTCCTCTCCTCATATAAGTATGTATCTTCAAGCCCACACACTGAGGGGGCAAAAAAAAAAAAAAAAAAAAAAAAAAAAAAAAAAAAAGTACCTTCACAGTACAAATCCAACCTTTTTTAAGACCAGCTTGTATTTTTAAAGTATAAAGCTGGTATTTCTCTTATTTAGTTTCTTTCTTTATTGTTTCAGTGTTCTGCTTACACATTTTTTCACTCTATTTTTGTTTCTTTGAAGTTATATTTGTATGATAAATTTGGATTATAGCTAAAAGTAAAAAAGTTCTCAGAAGCTGATTCCTAAAGCTGACTTACATTGCTCTTGTGGTGACGTGCTGAGAAAGAAGTCTGGTAGCAAACAGTGGTACTGTGACATCAGGAAAAAAGAACAAGGATGGCTATTCTCTTCAGATATGTAACACACCATGAAGAGAAACACTGGAAGCAGAGAATATGAAATGGTCTCTTAAGAATTCATGACCCCCCCTGCTTACACAAAATTCACAGATTTTCCTCATGAGGCATCAGTGGATGCTCTAAGAATTACCTAGCCTACTTCAAAAAAACAAATGAACAAACAAAACATGCTATTTAGGTTATAAAACCTCATCAAGTCAATCTTCACATAATCAGTGTGTAGCGTGTGTATTATATGCCAAGTGAGAACAGAAAAGTAGGTTTCCAGCTTCCCTGTAAACACTTCAGGGACATCTTGGGATAGAACAGGACACTGACACTTCTTGTTATCTAAATCCTCCAAATTTTGTCTGTACTGGGCGAGCTTCAAAATGCCATACTCTTCTAACAAATCTGTCACTCCCCTCCCCAATAAATATTAATAGACTGACATAAATACTCAAGTGAAAACAATCAGCATATTTATAAGTATCATGGATCTTCAATACTAAGGATATTTCCTTCTGAGGCACTGCAGTTTGGCGGTGGCAATCTACACTCTTGCCCACTAGCAGGAGGACTCAGAAGATAACCAGCTGTCGTGCTCTGGCATGTGACGGGGTTTCGGTATGCTGAACAGAATGCTGTGTGATGGAAGTTATTTACAGAAGTAGTTTTTAATACCAAAAGTAGTATGCTCAGTATACAGTAAGAGTCCAAACACTTCTAAGCATTTCCTCCTTAAAGGCCAACACTGAAGTTAAACGGAGCACATGTTAGCAGTTAAACGCTTTCTTCACAGGCCGAATCGGTAGTAGAATTGTGGCTACAACACAGACTTTGATTGTCTAGTTCAGAAACTCAGACTCAAAAAAACCCCTCCAAAGTAATAGTTAAGAAAAAACAAACAAACAAAAAACCAAGAATGTTTTAAAAGCAGCAGTCAGGGGGCCCATCTTGTTCAGAGTGCACCAGAGCAAAGAGGCTTTCTGGTCTGCAGTAGTGTTTTCGGCTGAAGGAAGATGGCAGGAGATCCCCCTTCTTCTTCCAGGGCGGTGGCTTTGATGCTGTTACCAGCACTGTATTGCTCTGTTGCACAAAGCGCGCGTAGCCCTTGCAGGACCAGCTCAGTTCAGGTGAGTAAGGTCCACCTTACCAGGGCATACCTGTCCGTGACCTCTTCCTCTGCTTTTTACAAAGGCAATAGATAGGAAACACAACTAAACCTGCCAAAAGAAGGAAATAAGAAAACCATAAGTAAATGCAATTCTTTGTGTGTGCGCTGTGTTCTTTCAATGTACGGAGAACATTTAAATACAGCTTTCTGTGTCTCAATATAATTTAGACAAGGCATTAGGACAAGCAGAAAAAGATATTAGCCCGCAACAGTCTCTTTGGTAATGAGTTAAGCTACACTTGCCGCTTATTTTACAACAAATTCCTGCTAACTCTCCTCCCATGTCTAAAAGCACTTGCTCAATCCTTAGAGCTAAAACCAAGGCTGATTTAACTAAACTACTTTTGAACCAATTTCACATGCAATAGAGGTAGTATTATCAATTCCTACAAACATCCTCATCTATTGTGAAGTTGCACCAAATGTTTAAAGTTGATTGGGCAGGGAACAATTTATTCCTAAAAGTCTTTTCAGAGAAAGGAAGGTGTAAGAGGAAAAATAAATAAATCAAATTTATTCAAGTGAAAAGCAGTTTGTCAGAAAAGGTACTCTTTCAAACACGATTAAGAAGCATCTCCTCCTTTCTCTTGCCAACACCTGACTGAAATGGCAAAAGATTCCCTTCTCGCACACCACATGTAACAAACGACTACCTACAGTCCCTAGGAGCCTTGCTTTGCCTGATAGCCTTGTAAATGATGTAAAATGGTTTTCAGCTATGATACCGAGATTACTTTAATAGTTGTGTAGCAGTAAATTTTGCTGCAATTACCTCAAACTCAAACTTTCCTAAAACTAATCAATGTTATTGGAACTGCTCATACTGCTGCTCTTGATTGTATGTTATCCAGCCATGTTTTAAGGATGGTACTTCAATGGCATATTGAGTATTACTGCAATTATTGCTACTGTATTACTACAAAATCCTCTTAATTTTAAATATAAGCAAAAGATTGGGTTTGTTGCTTCTTTTTCCAGCACAGATTATACCAGATTGCTGAGCAAAATAAGCTTTACTGGCATTAGGAAGTCTTTTTTGCCTATAATTTTGACATAAAAATGCCACTAAAAAGAATAAATACTGAAGATGTCTCTCTCTCTCTAGATGTCTATCTTCACCGAACTCAACTCAGAATATTGATAAAGGAAAGATATGTATTCTTAGTCTAAATACTGAAATTAATAGCAATATTCCTTATTTGGCCAGAACATAGTCTAGAGAAGCTGTAATGGTGTTTTGTTTGTATGTTGATTGTTTATGTACAATATTATTAATGTAACTATCCTAGTATATTTTGGCTTTATTATATCAAAACAAAGACGCCACATCGCAACATGCTTCTGGGCTACGCATACACTGCAGATTTGCAACGGAGTAAGTAGCTTGGTGAATAGTTGTGAAGCAGCATGATCCCTGACTGACTGCCAGCATAAATAGTAGATATGTAGCAAAATTATACATTTATTGTTACAGCTTATTTAATTCCTGTGGAAGAATTCAGCTAAGCCAGCAAACAGCAGATTTGCTAGAATAACTACATTGACATTAATATAACCACGTTAACAGAGCTTTAGTACTATATCAAATGCATTCACATTACCATTTTCTCTGTGTGATGGAATCCAATTTGGCAGCCTATGCACCCAATCAGATTCTGAGACTGACTCATTCCAATTTGTTGCTTGCTGTTGTTTTTGCATCTTCATGCTGGAGGGCTCTTGGGACTATGCCTAGTGACCCGGAAGTCTACTCATGAGCATGGCCAAGATCATAGAACTGTGATCTACTGGGGTGATTAAAGGGAGGGCCCAAGTTAGCCAGCCCCCAGGACTATGTTCAAATTACTCTGGCCTTTTTACTAGTTTAGCCACAGCAGTTAAGAAGAATTTGGTTCAGAAAACCACGTAATTTGGAAAAAATAAATAAAGCCAACAGGTATAAAATGCAAGTAGGAAAAAAAATTCTAAAGAATAAAAGTCACGTGCTTTAAACTAAAATCACATCTATGAATTTTGTATTTTGTGTCCATCTCTTCTGAGATGAAAATACTGAGAGGGCATACAGATAGTCACTACAAAGTGAGAATTAGATTCATCCACATAATTAACTCTTACCTATTACAACAGCTATTGCTCCCAGTGCCAGTCCCAGAACCAGTATTAGGAGTGTAACAAGTAGTTTTCCAGCTGAAATGCAAAATTCATTGAACAATTCAAAGCATGCATTTTATTTTTCCCTTTCCAACCATCCACAAATATTTTGACATCAGACTTCCAATGGTTGGCTCATTTAAAAAATACTTTACCAGGTTTCCTATTCATAAATTCTTCCTACAAATCCAGCTAGGAGCTATCACCCCACAGGCAGCTCCCCACACACATTTTTCTTCGCCCTCTTCACCCATCACAGCACTCCAAACACGGCTCAGTCTGTACGTTAAGAGGTAGAATGGAAACAGAAGGCAAGCTTAAATTGCTCAGGCATAGACAGGAACATGATAGCTACACCACCACTATCATCTGGATTCTCTAGAATCCTGCTGCACAGCAACCACCCTGGAAGGATGCCAAGCAAACCAGCATCTTGGAGAGTTTAGGTTAGCTCAAGGCGATGAGACCATCACCTCTAAATATGCTTCTGCTCACTTGAAAAGGCTGCGGGGAAGTCCTCACATACAGTTATGGCTTAGGTCTGAATCAAACGACAGCCAAGTCTATTTTGGATGAACATTCAAAAGGGTATGTTGCTGCTCTCACATAAGGCAGTGAGGTTGCACAGCACATTGGCTAGAGCATAGACCCTAAAAACAAATAAAACATCTTCACATTCTTTATTTCTGTTGAGCGTGTGCGTTGAAATGCATGAAAGGAAGGCAGAGTGTCTTCCGAAACGCTGTTGAAACTGAACTTTGAATCCAAGTTGTCTTTCTGGCCCTACATGCTCTCAACTGAACGGCAGGATCTCCCCTCTCTGTGTTGGCTGAACAGTTGGATCAAAGATGTCACTTGTCTCAGCTGTTTGAAAACGCAGCAGGACAGGCATTTTTACTGACACACCAGCAGTCTGATTCAAAATTAAGCAGTTCTCTAAGTTAAGCACGTGTTTGGAAGATCGCCTCTAGACAGTGAGGAAAAGTAAGCTCGTCTTCCCTGCCCTTCCCTCTCTCAAGCCACTTGTCTCAGATTTCTGTAAATGGATTACTTCATTTAATAATGATGTAAACCTCTCTATAACCTGAGACATTAATTTGGGCAGTCTGAAGGAAAAATGAGATATTTTGGAAATATTTACAGCAGTTAAATGAATTGATCCTTTACATGCTCTGTTTTGATAGCTTTTAAATTTAACAGTGGTGTTGTGTGTGGGAAACATTAATTCCTAGAAGAAAAAAGTTGGCAAATATTATTGGTATTACTCTAGTTACTAGACATCCTAATGGTAGGCCTTCTTGGGACTACACTGCACTGTATTCTATACATATAAAAGTTGTCAAATTATTCAAGCGTATAGAGGAGGAGGAATGTAGAGTGATGGAAAACTCAAGAAAACTCAAAAAATGAGTTATTAAAAAAAATCACCAGAGCCTTAAAAAAAAAAAAAATCGAAGTAAAGCTTATACAAGATTGTTTAAGGTATGAACTCTATTAAAAAACTATGTTATTAGAATGTTAGAAAATTATGATGTTTGGTACAAAAATTATTAAGCATTTAAACACTGAACTGGTGACTATTGAGAAACAGAGTCTACAAAAGGGCTAAGCTAGCTTTTGACTCAAGTAATTTCTTTGCAAATACAAAAAACAGTTCCTCAAATAATTCAGTTTAAGAATTTACTTACATTTGAACTACTAGCTCTGAGCTGAAATAAAGCATGAGTGAGTGTCTTTTTCCGTCTGTCTTTGAGTACGAGGTTGGATATTGTGTAGTTCTTATCGGAATTTTCATCATCATGGAACAATATCTTTTGGTTATCAATGCATTCTTTAAACTTTAAAAAAAACTAAAATACCTTTTCTCCTTGTATATCTACCACATTTAAATCCTTTATCTTTCTTTACTTTTGTAGATTAAAATTAAACGAGTAATCAAGGTGAACAAGACTTGCACAAGTTATCATCAGTTGGAGTACAAACAGCAGCAATCACTGCAAAGCAGCAGATACGTACTTTTATGCCAATAATTATCAGCACTGTGTGAAACAATTATAAAATGCTCCATTTATACATCCACATCGAATGTTACTTTATATCCAGTTCCAGTTTGACACATATCATTTGTCACAGTGTGAAGGATTACAAGGTTCTTACTCATAGAGGGAATCATGACACACCAAGAAATGCTGCTGAGACTAAGGAAATTTACTGCAGGCACTAAACTTCCCACAGACACACACTCTCCCAAGTCTGTTCACTCCAAGACTGCTAGCAGAGAGAGCAAATGTAAAACTTGCCTAAAAGCTGAATAAAATCTTGAGTCATTGGTCCATGTGGTGAACTCAGCAGTAGGTTATGATAGGCAATTTGGTAATGTTCAAAGTAATTTTTTAAGGACAACTTTTAAAAGAAATAGTTGTAAATAGAACAAAAGGGTTCCTTTTTAGAATTCTACTCAAAATAATGGTACACAATGACTCTACTGGGTTACTCAGCATGAAGATTCAGACATGTGTGGTAATGTAATAACAGCATTTGCAGGTGTCTCAGAGGGGTTGAATTACTTGCAATACAGAGAATGATGTTTTTCTGCAAAATGAGCAAACATTTAGAAAATCACAAGGGAATATTTTTCCCTTGCATAACTTTGTGTTTGGTTGTGGGTTTTAGGGTAAGAGATACAAAACTCCATAAATCCTCAGAGAATCGTTTGCTATGTAAAAAAAAAAAAAAAAAATCAATATACTAGTTTTAGAAAATTTCATCACTAGCATATGAGAAATAGAAAGTTTTGTCTTCCAAGTCTAAATATCATTGCATTTTTAAGCAGAGCCACTAGAAGTATCTACTCGCAAATCAAAACAGTCATATCTAAGCAGATTTAGGGTATTATCTAAGTTTGTATTGTTTTTTAAAGAGTCTTATCAAGCGCGTATTGGCAACTTTTTACAAATCAGACCAATTTAAATGATAAAGTTCCTAACAAAGGCTGTATCCTCGAAATATGTCTCCTGCAGTGCTCAAAGCCATGAACAAAAAGTGAATCTTGTGCTCTGTGTTTACCATACCAAAAATGTCATTTGCTTCAACAGCATCATTACTTGTTGTGTCCTGTTACACATCCATGAAGCACCTGGCAACTGATTTTGAATAAAGTATAACTTGAATTCAGTGGGTGAATTAAAGTGCCATATTAACTACATTTAAGACAGTTCAAGATGGTTTTTTTTCTGTGCAATTCATCACTAACTCCAGCTACAACTAAACATTCTGCCTTCAACAACTTAGCTAAATAATTACTATTAGAATGAAATCTGTAGGTTCACTGAGACTGAAGGATAAAAGCAATTTCACTCTACTGTACTGGTCATGGGACAAAGATTCTCTACGAAATACACTGGCTAAAGAGGAAAGAGAAATGTCATCAAATTCAGAAACCAGTTTTGCTCCCAGGTTATTTTCTTCTCCTTGTGATTTCTATTACCTTTACAAAAGCATATGTTTATGAAGAAAAGCGTATTTAAATCTATGCTGCCATAAATGCTTTTCCCTTTTTATTACAGAACAGTTTGTGATTGTAGGCACAAACAGTTGCTTCTCAACAGAAACCATGACAGCATGCCAGACTGCCATGAAGTGTTCTTTCCTCCTATACACACCCACCCACCTAGATTGGGTAGAAACAAATCAAAACATCTTCATTGCACAAGGCTACAAAATCACCACATTTCCTTAAAGAAGTATTTCTCCACAGCAAGAAAGTAAAAAAAGTCACCGAAGGAAAATGTATCTAGCAACACCCCATCAGTCTCCCACTGATAGCCAAGATAACGTTCTCTTAACTTTCACTACTTAGCTAACTATCGGGCAGCATTTTATAGCAGGAAATCCAACCTTTATTTCTTGCTACATGTTACTAACATTTAGAGACTATGGTTTTGACAGCTTATCTCTCTGCTATCAACTCTTCTTTCTAATGTCTTCTGCTGACTCTCAGAACAGAACCAAACTCCAGGTTTGTACAGTAAGCCCTACTGATGACAATACTCCCCTCTCACTTGATAAGGTCTTAACGTATTTGCACTTACAGTTCTAGCTACAAGGACATCTCTGACTCTAGACATGATCCCTAACTGGAATTAAACATTTCTGGGTTTTCAAATTGATCTTAAATGATTAAGACTAGGAAGCTTCAGTTCAAAACAAAACAGAAAAAAAAAAAATAAAAACCCCAAAGATCATGACAAAGAGGAATCTGATGGAGAGCCTATAAAAGGAAGTGTGAAAACACAAACAAGCTATTATTATTTACTCAATTTTATGATAACAGAAGTAATGGATTAAACTAACAGAAATTAAAAACAAAAACAAAAACAAACAATAAAGGAAGTACATTCTCCACACATGTAGTGAAATCATACAGCCTCTATCAAAGATGCCACGGAAGCCAAAACTCAAGCCATACAAATTGGTGAAGGATACATCTACTGACAGTTATTAAGCAAAGGTTCAGATGCAAAACAAGAAAGGGTCTAAACCCAATGATTACTGGAAGTAGACAAGGAGTGAGATCTCATCTCTAACTGACCACTGTTGGGGACAAATCTCACTAGGTAGACCTTTATACTCGTCCAATTAAATGGAATTGATCTGTGCCTGCTAAGTTTGACAAAGGTATCTGATCCTTCCGAATTTGTACCATTCAAGACAGCAGAATACACAAACTGAACTAACACTGTGTCACAGTCAGGTTATACCATCTTGAAATAAAGTGTCAGGATGGTAATCTTGCAACAATATAATGCCTTCTTAAAAAAAAATTAAAATGTGAACACCAATATGGTCTCCTGTGGTAAAAAAATACAGAAATCTAGACCGGCTCACATATGCCAATGATAGCCAAAAACTAATCTAATGGATGAAGAGCAGCAAGCTCAATTTGTGAGTTCTGATCTCATGCAAACTGTTGAAACTTTGATTTTTATTTTTATATTTTTATTTACATGTGTGAACTCGGTTAGAGGCCTGAAAAGTTTTAGTAGTTATTCATAAAGCATATCAGGATCATTATTACAATTTAGAGATCCAGAGATAACAGGGATTTAAGGTCATGTGTATCAATGCAACTTTGGTGTTAGCAAACTGCTGTAAAAATAAAGACTATTACTACATAAATAAGGGCTATCACCACTACTACAGGTTCATCTAGCTCTGTCTCTATTCAAATGATGACCATTCCTGTGAGAAACAGGACCGTATGACAGAGGTAGTCTTGAAAAGAAGTTTTTAACAGAAAACCCTAGGAGAAATTTAAGCTGAAGCTTCGAGTTTTTCTAATCTTTGTTGGCATACTAAGTAAAGCAAACCACAAGTACACTTGCAAACAGGATGTGAAAGTAAAATATCTTATACCTTTCTCTGTGCTTGTTTTTGTTAAGTATCAACATATACATCCTCAACACTGGACTTCAACTCATATATGCACTTCCACAATTCTTTACTGCCTCCAAGTCACTGTTTGCAAACAAATTAGTTTTCTTTCTTTCTAGTAAAAGTCCCTTCTTTTAAAAGGAAAAGGTTGTGTATTATTGTTTCCTAAAACAACGAAGAGTGAAACTAGTAAATAATTTTAGCAGTGGTTATGCACATGCAGCACAGCACCTGTATTTTGGACTTCATATGTGGCATTAAAACATGTCAACTGCTTATTTAAACACCTTACATGTAAACCATTGGAAAAATTAAGACAATAATAATATCATGTTTTCCAGATCTATGTTGTCATAAACCCCACTTATTTTATATTTGTAGCTCCATTGCACGTGCAAGGTTTGATCTTGGAATCAGGTTACCCGTGACTCTGCACAGACCTGGTAACATCTCTGAGCAGTCCTCTCCCATCACAGATACCACCAATTCCGAATGTACCAAGACCCATTTTAAAAAACCCTGCATTGTGTGTCATTGTGGGCTTTTAGTAAAAGCTCTTCTGAAAACTTATTAAGTGCTTTAAAATGGTTCTTGAATTTTAAGCCTAAACTTATGAGCAGTTTACACACATGTGTTCTAGTGCCAGCACTGTCTTTAATCTAGACTGGATTTTCTTATGCATTGGAATTCATATCTACAAAAGGTATCAGAGTACGCACAGATGGTAGTTTTGAAGTTCCATCTTTCTTTCCTATTCATTTCCTGATCTTTAATTTGCCTCTCAAAGTTTGTTCTAAAGCCTTGCAAGTTCCTGAGGTTAAACTAACGGGCCTGGATGACTTATGGTTATTTATTAAATAAGAATTCCAAGTTTGCGAGTCTCCCACAACTTCACAGAGCGCCCAGACTGGCATTCTTGTTAACACGCCTGTGAGTTTGTGTGCCAGCTCCTGTGCTACTCTAAAATGGAAATCACCTAGTTTTACTTACTGGAATATGTTTGACTCAGGAGTATTGTTTTCACTGCAGGTCTGCGGACTTTTATTTCCATGCATTTAGTCTCTTACCCTTTACCTCTACATACAACATCAATAACTGATAAGCCCAAAGCATTTTCTTATCCTAAGTAAATTCCAAGTCACCTCCAATTTCTATGCCTTAACTCAAATTACAAGAAGTCCTATTTTCATTAACAGGTCCGCAGTTTTTGACAGTTAATATAACCACTTCCTTTGCTATAGATATCTTCACATGCTGCAAACTCACTAAAACTACTGAACTTATATATATAACTTAATATACATGTAATACATCACATAAAGTAATAATTATGTCGTTAACTTTTTTCTTGTGCTTCTATATGTTGAGACAGACATACATCTGGCTCAAAAGCAAAAACAAATTAGGGGTGCCTTTTTTTTATTAAATTAAGAAGTCAGGCTTTTGGCATCATATTTGTGTGAGAGAAATTAATGTATATATTTGTACTTTGGTTTTGATTATTTTGTTTTCTATTTTGATTTTATCTGAACCAAAGACAACAGTTAAGAAGATAAGCATCTCCCTGTTAAATAGGCAAACCTGAGCGATTAACCTAGATCAGTTTTAAAACCAAGAAACGCTCTATTCAAACAGACCCTTGACACAGAGGTTCATGTACAAAAGGGTCCTGCTCTGGTCCCTTTCTCCTATATACTTGCAGAATAACAATCACAGCCAACAATATGCATATTGACAGTGTTTTTTTCAGTTTGTTTATGTATTATTGAAAAGGATTAGAAAAGAGAAGGCATCAGGAGAGGACACAATACTTACTCATACACAGCCCACGGAGTACAAATATTTAAATATATTTAATAAACCATCTTTTACATTACTAAACAACAGGCTGCCCATCTGATACTTTAAACTAATAGTTCTTTACTTATTATTGATGCCTGTGCACCCAATCACCTCATCATGCAGCTCTCCACAAGGAACATTCAACCACTCACCACAGACAGAGCCTCGCACTAATCTCCTTAAATGTGGTCTCTCGGGGAGGTAGCGGTATTTGCATCCAAAGATACTGAGGTTTGAGGTGTGATCTCCAAAGAACCGGAGCTGGCGGTATCTCTCCCCACAACGGTAACAGAAATTAGTGTTACACTGTGAACAGGTCATATGGTCACACCCTTCTGTTCTCTGGATGTGGATCTGGATGAGTGGAAGAAAAAATGAAAGAAAATATTACTATTTTTTCCCCTTCCCAAGCCCAGGAAAGAAGTACTACCCTGTGCAGTCCAGGTGTCAAATGAAAAGACACCACAAGCAACTATTGATTAACTCAACATTTGCATTAATTGCTGCTGCAGCTCTCCTAAGGCAATAATGGTTATCTAGAGCATGTTTCAGAGCATCAAGCATGAGTTACAGGCATTTGCAGATTTCCATACATAACGTTCTGTATAATCACCCTGCTTTAACACTCTGTATCAGACGAGAATCTGAGTAATCCTGGCCCTTACTGAAAACTTGGTTTTATTACTAAAGTAGACACACTAGCAAACTTTATTAGAAATAAAAGCAACATAATATAGTTATGAACTCTGTTTGACTCCTCCATGGATGGGTTACCCCCTTATGCCACCTGTGGCCCCACTCCTTTACCCATTACCATCACAAATTGATTTGGCATTTTGTAACAAACTCCGTAAAGGCTCTGCTATTAGAGCGAATGATTCAAAGTATGTGAGGGTTTTATGTGGTTTTTTTTTTTTAATGAAAAGAAAGATTCTACAAACCACATGAAAGATTTATATTGAGCTTTCATAATGCCTGCAGTGCAGCATGAAGCTGGGCTGCCTAGGTTCTACATCCATCTTTCTGCTGATTGCCCGCATAAATAGCTCCATTCTTGTATCTCCACATACTCTTCTGCAAAATGGGTGCATTCACCTACTTTGTGCAGATTTGGGAAAGCTTCAGTTTTGGTTAATAGTTCTGAGAGTCTTGAGAGGGTAGTCAATCAACTACAATTTACACAGCTACTTCCAAATCTTGCCAACTGAAAATATAACTAACGGGGTGGCAAACATACACTTTCCCTAGTTCACAAAATTGCTAAAGACTCCCTGTCCCGAGATCATGCTCCACAGTGGAACAGCAGATAAAATTACCTAATAATTGAGGTTGGAAGTAACACTCAGAGGTCATCTATTTTAACCCCTAGCTCCAAGCTGGTCTAACTTCCAAAGCCAGATCAGATTACTCCAGGCCTCAGTCAATTGGGTGTAAAAAATTTCCAGGTATGGGTATGTCACAGTCTCTTTGAGCAACCTGTCCCATACTTCATCACCCTCCCTGGCAGTACTTTTTTTCCCTTGCATCCAATTGAAATTTTATTTGCTGAAACTTGTGGCAAATGAAAGCCTTCTGAAAGTCTTATCCATATCTACATGTATTTATTTTTCAGGGAGTTATAGGTGATGACTAGATATCACCACTCAGTGGCCCTGCAAGCACCAGAGATGCTGAAAGTTCAGGTTCAACTGAAGCCTCTCACCTCAAGAGAAGTTTGTGATGCCTGGAGTATTTAAATTTCTTGAGAAGTTCAAGCGTATTTGTTCTCTGCTGCTGCCGAGGGTTCACGTGGAATGCGAACTCTCATGTACCCAAACAGCTACTGAAATTGGCACTTTATAAATCTAACAAAGTCACGTTTCCTGACAGCAATTCTTTTGGTATAAAATTCCAGGTCAGACACAGTTAGCGATAGCTCCAGGTACACCTGCCAACATCCTTGTCCCAACAGTAGTGATATTAGGATTCTTATTTCTACACCTCCAAATGCTCCTTTTACACATAAGAGGGGAAAGACATCCACAAAAGAGAGGATTGGACGATAAAACGTTACTTTATAGTGGGCTTGCATTCACCCCATAGAAGGGGAGCAAAAAGACTGACCAAGCAATTATCCCCTTCTAACTGGAGGAATCCTGCTGTATCAGAGGTGCCTTGTTTTTCAGAAGCACCTGGAAAAATACCATTGCTGCTGAACTTTATAAGCCACATGACTTCAAAACTTTCACACCTAAGCACTGACTGCAAGAAAAGTGAAAAGAGAAGTCTACCCAATATTTTGCCAACTTAAGCAAAACTGCAGAAGTCGCACGCTATTTTATTCTAAAAGGGGTATTGTCTGTTTGACTTTTGCTTTTACTTTTCAGGTTTTATATGAAAAACAACATTGACCCTGCTCACAGAAAAAGTCCAGAAAAATTAATTTGAACTTAAATTAAGGAATTTTAATAGTCACTCAATGTATTTTAACAAATTAACTTTAAAATTTAATTCCAACTAGGTTTTCAGGAGACTTAAATTGAGACAGCAACTACACAGAGTTTTGTAGTTTGAGATACGTCACTGGGTCAGCAGATAAGCAAAAGTATCTCCACCTTAAAAATGTAAACGAGTGCATTAGATCTTATAACACTAAAGGAGAATTAATTGTTGTTTTGTTTTTTGAATCAGGACCGTTGAATTCTCCTTTCTCATCTATGACTTACCAACCTCACCTATTAAGTTACCACCCACAGTAATTAAAAAATCTGTACAGGCCTGAACCCTATATAAACTCTAGATAGAAAGTAAAATTACTTCACAGTTCAAAAATTATTTTCTTTGATAGTAAGAACTTCAAGGAGCTGTTGCCAATAGCTTTACACATTCTACCATCAGTACCCTTCAGAAATACCCACCTCTTGGACACTGTCTTCCATCCTTCTACCCACATTTTCCTAGAAGCATTCCAGCTCCAGTTAGCCAAGCACCACTCCCTAAATCACTTCTATTTATTTCTGCTCTAAATGTTCCAGATATACTCTCTTCTTAAAACATAAAGAAGTTGATATATAATTTATTTTCTTACAGACACTTACTGCAATTATGTGTACTCTACTTCTTCAAGATGTACTGAAAAAAATTTTCTAGTGAATACTTACTTGAATATACGTAACTGTCTTCAAAAGCTGCAAATTTGAAACAACTGGCTATATTTGCCTATATATTTGGCTGCAA